ACGGGAGATTTTGGGCGAAAAATACAGCACCCCCCCAAAAATACTCCAGAATGGCCACGCATAGTAGAAGAATCGTCCCCAGGCTCCACTATTTCTGAGTGCTCCTCCTGCAGAGGGACAGGCCCGACGTAACGATACCGTCCGACTCAAAACCAATCTTTGAGCCTCCAGAGGGGGACATGAATCCCCTATGTTTTTTTTATAGGGGTCCGGAGGGCCCGAGTGGCCCCCGAGGGCCCCTCCCCTCCCCGCCCACCCCTCCCCCCGCCCCACCAAGGCCCGAGAGGGCCCCAGAGGAGGCCCCAGGATGGCCCCAAGAGGGCCTCACAACCCGCCCCCCAGCAGCGCGGTCAATACCCCAAAACGGTCACGAGGTACCAGAACAATCGTCCCCTGACGAGTGTTCTACAGGGCAGTTGTTAAAACATGGGATTTTTAAGCACATAGGATTTTGAATGCATGATTAATGTATGAATCAATGTATGCATGAACTCATCGTTGTTATTACTGCTAAATCCCTTTCATTTTAATACATGATCCGCACGCGGAGTATGTACAAAAACGGCACTGCAGAACAATCATCCCCTGACGATTGTTCTACTATTCTTGAATATTTCTCCCGTAGAGGGACAAGCCCGATGTAACGATACCGCCCGCTGCTGGGGGTAGGGAACCGAACTCTGTACACCGACGCGTTTTCTGGTCCTGCACTGAAGCTCGCACAGGGAAGCGGATCCTAGTGTACGCGGGATCCTGGCGCATACATGTTTCGTTGTCTCCCAGGGGAGCGGATGTGTGGCTTCGAAAAAGCCTGGGCGCACGAGAAGGGCTAGAGGAACAGCCACGGACGGACGTAAGGAACATCGAGCCCCTTCCGAATCCAAACTGTTTCTTCTTTCAGCGTCCTGGCTGTATGCTCCGATGTTCCGAGGGGAAAGCCCCCGTCCCCGCCCGAGGTCGGCCGTGGGCTGCACTTAAAAGAGTGATCCTGGGCAGGAGTGACCTCTGGTGCGCGGCTTCTGGGGGCCGCGGGGGGGCCAAACCTGGGCGCGCAGGCAGCTGCTACCGTTTCGTTTTCAGCCATCTGGGAACCCATCGGTGCCCGCACCGAAGGTCTGGGAACCCGCACCCTTAGATGATCTTAAAAACGCTGGGGACGTTTTTTTTTCCGTTTTGGAGATCGACGTATTTTTTCTGTTTTGGGAGCCGTTTTTTTCTGTTTTGGATTTGCGCCTTGCCGTTTTCGGTTCGTTTTGCGATCCGTTTTTTCATCGTTTTCACCTGCCGTTTTCTGTACGTTTTCGTACCAAAGGTCACTCCTGCGAAAGGTCACTCCTACGCCTGGTCGGGGTCGGTCGGCCGCGCGGCCTCGGGCGGGGCCGGGGGCGGGCCCGGAGCGGCAGCCGCGGCCGAGACGGCGGCAGGCCCGCGGGCGCCCGTCGAGGCCCCCAGCCGCAACTCCTCGTCCTAGTCGTCCTCCTCCTCCTCCTCCCCCTCCTCCTCGTCCTTCTTCTCCTCCTCCTCTTCGTCTCTCGTGCTCCTCGTCCTCGTCCTCGTCCTCGTCCTCGTCCTCGTCCTCCTCCTCCTCCTGCTTCTCTTCGCGGCATCCGCGCCCTGGAAATGCTCGGTCTGCCCCGCAAAAAGCAGGCAACAGCATCCACCCCCAGAACAGATGCTCCGACAAGCGAGGTCGTTTCGCAAACGCGCCCAACATAGGAATCAAACAGGGCCGTTCAATAAACGCAAATTGTCGGGCACGGGTGGTTGTTCCTCCCTCGAGTCAAAGCAGACAGCTTTAGACAAGCACTTTCGATTGTTAGGCCAAGACCCCAAACGAACGGGTCTTGCGCGAGATGGCACGGCGATCTTGCGCGGGCGGCCGGCGCGGCACACCACATTGAAAACGCGGGCGCTTGCGCGCGATCAGACGCGGACAACCCGCGCGCCAATGCGGCCCGAGACGACCCCGTTGTCTGCAACGTTCACTGGGGCTTCGGTCGGGCCCGTCCCCCTGCAGGCCGACTCTCGACGAAAAATTAGCAGTGCTCAAAAAAAGCGCAATACACAGACAAAACATACTAAAAACATCGTCCCCATATTATGTTTTGACTATTTTGGAATATTCCTCCTGCAGAGGGACAGGCCCGACCTGAACTTGGGTGCAGGGTGTAGCCTGCCATGTACATCCGCCAACGACCTTGCATTCTGAATACAGTCGGGCTGCTGAAAGACGGAACGATACACAAGGAAAGCAGCCCCTTTTTGGCCCCACAAGCGCCTGCGTGCACGAGGAAGGCTAAGAGGACAAGCCACAGATAGACCTAAGGAACATCGAGCCGCCTTTCACTTCCCCAAACTGCTCCTTACTTCAGCGACTTGGCTCTATGTTGTTTGACGGCACTCTCTCCCCCAATACATGTTTTCTCCATGGCGTCCTCGGCCCCTGGACCTCTCTCGGGGTGAAGCTGAAGGGGAACTGGGACACGCAAATACTTAGACACAAATATCCAGATCCCCTATAGTTTCCAATATTTTCTGGGTGTCTGTTTTCCCCCCCCACTTCCCGTATGTTCCCACATGTTCTGGGGCATCGACGATTCATTGTGTTTATGTGTTTCTTTTCCTCCTGAACTCTATGTTGCGTCCTCGGGGGGCCTTGGCCTTGTCTGTCCCGTCGCGGACCTGTCCGCGTCGAATCCATGTCGAATACATGTCGGACTTGTCGGATCCGTGCCGAATCCGTGCCGAGTCCGCGTCAAATCCGCGCCCAATCCGCGTCGAGTCCGCATCGAGCCCGCGTCGGGCACGAGAGAAAACACCAATTTTGGGGGACAGGCGAAGTCCCCAGAAAAAGCAACGTAATGAACTCCCTCCCCCAATACATGCTTTCTCCATGGCGTCCTCGGGCCCCCGGACCTCTGCCGGGGTGACGCACGGCAAGCGCCTCGAGACGGGCCCCGTCGCGGCGACGAGGGCCCGCCCTCGGAGGCCCGGGGGGAAACGTCCACGTAGCAACACGGAGACATCGAGCTTCGATCCCCTCCTCCTCCACCTCCTCCTCCTCCTCCTCCTCCTCCTCCTCCTCCTCCTCCTCCTCCTCCCCCTCCTCCTCCTCCTTCTCCTCCTCCCCTATCCTCCACCTCCTCCTCCTCCTCCTCCCCTCCTCCCCTATCCTCCTCCTCCTCCTCCTCCACCTCCTCCTCCTCCTCGTGTTCCTCCTCCTCCTCCTCGTCCTCCTCCTCCTCCTCCAGGGTCCACCAACCACCATTGCCCGCTCAAAGTCCACGCCCCGGACCCCTTGCAGGGTCCTTTCGCCGTCGCTCCGACGTCCATTCCCCGCGCAGGCTTCGACTTCGTGCGTTTCTTTTCCACCGGACGAAGCAAGATGCTCCTCGATGGTCCTCGCCGAGAAAAAAATACACGTCCGAGCGATGCCAAGTCCCGATGCTGGCATGGTTTTCGAGCCGCGCCCCGCCACGATCGGGGGCGAGCAAGCATGGATTAGCAATCCATGGGTCTGGCGCGCGGTCGCCAAAACCGTGGATCGGCGCAGGTGCCCTCCCCAAAATGCGGCTGGTGCCGCCTCGCTCGGTGGCGGAAGTCCGCGATGTCCCATGGAAGCGGGACCCGTCACTCATCCACGCCGCCTTGAACCATGTTTGCGATCGACTGAGGTTCGATCTCCGTCCTGCTACCATTCTCCTTGCCCCTCCTCTAGAAGAAATATCGCCATAAACATAAACGTTTGGCGCTCCGCGCGGATTTCTTGGATCTGCGCTGGACCCTCCTCCCTGGCGCGCGGAGCGAGCCAGGGGCGGCGCTGGAGGCGCCGCCGGGGGGTGCCCAGGCGCGGATTCAAGAAATCCGCGAGTTATGTTTATGTTTTTGTTGTTTTGTTCTTCCATTGCCCCCCCTTTGGCTCGAGCCGTTGGCACGAAACCTGAATTTTCTGAACGAGTGCCCGTGCGCTGATAAAACAACGAGTGCTCTGACTTCTGCTGCGTTGCCTTGAGATTGTCTATTCATCTTGGTTTGGCCCACGAGTGGCCCACGGCTCCTCCGCTGGCCAGCACCGTCGCTGCCGTGCATGCCGCGGTCGCGGCCGCCACGGTCTCGCCGCTGGCCTTTCCGGGCAAGGGCGGCGCGGGAGGGCGCCGGTTGTCCCCCCAAAGCCCCCCCCCCAGGAGGTCCGAGCAAAGCCCTGCGAACCTTGCGACCGCACCTCCTCCTCGTCCTCCTCCTCGTCCTCCTCCTCATCCTCCTCATCCACCTCCTCCTCCTCATCATCCTCCTCTTCCCCCTCCTCCTCATCCCCCTCCTCCTCCTCCACCTCCCCTATCCTCCTCCTCCTCCTCCTCCTCCTCCTCCTCCTCCTCCTCCTCCTGCTGTTCCTCCTCCCCTATCCTCCTCCGCCTCCTCCTCCTCCACCTCCTCCTCCTCCTCCTCCTCCTCCTCCTCCTCCTCCTCCTCCTCCTCCTCCTCCTCCTCCCCCTCCTCGTCCTCCTCCTCCTCCACTTCCCCTATCCTTTTCCTCCTCCTCCTGCTTCTCCTCCTCCTCCTCCCCGACCCTCCTCCACCCCTATCCTCCTGCTCCTGCTCCTGCTCCTGCTCCTCCGCCCTCCTCCTCTTCCTCCCCCTCCTCCTCCTCCTCCCCTCGCCCTGGGGGTCGAAGGCATCGCCGATGCATCGCCGACGTGTCGCCGATGCATCGGCGTTGTCGGCGATGCATGCGCGACGTCGGCATGAAGAAAAAGTGTGGGTTCGTATCGAGCCACATCGCCGATGCGTCGGCGATGCGGCATGATCCTTCAAACCCATCTGCTCTGACCTCATCTGGGATGCCTAGTTCGAGCAGCCGCAGCGGCCCTGGCGAACAGGATCCCTGTCCCTGGATCGGTAGGTGTATGCTGCAAGGCGGGGGTTCCAACCACCCCCCAGGAGATGGATTCTCGGGGACCTCGTCAGACTGTGGATACGGACTTTTGTTCCACGCCTCCTTCCCAGGGTCGAACAAGTATACGTGTGTCGATGTACGTTTACAAATGTGCATGTATGTATGCATGCATGCATGTATGTACAGATGTAGGTAAGTATGTACGTTTGTATGACTAACGACAGACATACATACATAAACCTGACCGGACAAGAACGGGAAGCGTCAATATGTGTCCTGGGCTTATGATATATCCTACGTTCTCAGTATGCGCTGAACAATTCTGTCGTGGCGTGCGTGCGTTTGCGCGTGCGCGTGCGCGGAATACGTGCATGTGCGTTCGTGCGTGGTGGTCTGCGACGCGGCTGCACTGCCGCGCTCCTGCGCTCTGCGTGACCGTATGTTGCCTCCCTGTGTGCGTGTGTGTTTGTGTGTGTGTGCGTAAGTGTGTGTATCTATGCGTATGCGTGTGCGTATGTGTCAGTCTGTGTGTGCGTGTGGTGTGCGTGTGCCTGGTTGCGTGTGCCCATGTGCGTGTGCCTGTAGGTTCGGCTGTATGAACAAATGTTCTGGGTGGTCTGCCGTGCTCCTCCGTGTTTTGCAGTGTTCCTGGGTGTTCTGCCGTGCTCCTGTGTATTATGTCATGGTCATGCTCGGACGTGCTCATATGTGTTATGCCGTGCTCCTGCGTGTTAAAGTTAAGGTTAAAGACGGGGCCTTCAAGGCAAAAGGGGAAATCCCTACGAAACCTAAACGGGGCGGCCCCAGCGGGCCTGGGCAGGCGGAAGGGCCACCCCCTCAGCCGCCCCCCCCCCTCCGAGGCGAGACATATATACAAAAAGAATGCAACTGCACGCCTAACTCACTCACTCACTCACTCACTCGGCCTCGAGAAGCCGCAGCCCCTCGGCCAGATCGCCGCTCAGGATTGCCGCCTGGGCCGCCACGGCCGCGGCCAGCCGCTCCTGCGCACGGCCTCCAGGGGCACCGGCCTCGAGACGCCTGCCCTTGCCCGGGATCGACAGAGAGGCTCGCGACGCTGCACTCCGCGAACACGTCGTCGTCGCCGACCTTGACCGCGACGCCATCATAAACGCCATCGCCCATGTGGCTGCGCTCCACCTTGCGACAATCCGTGACCAGCTGGGCCGCCACCTTGGGGGCATTCGCGTCCTTGAGCTTTTCGGAGTCGATCTTGGTCTCCCCGTTGTTGATCCGAGTGTTCACCAGGGTCGACTCGCCCATGGCCGATGCCACCGCCTTCACCTCGTCGGTGGCCTTGTAACCAGGGGCGCACTGGAAGACCAGCTTCTTCATCTCCCCCTTCTTCTTCTTCTCCACCGGCTTCAACGGTGCCCTCGCCTCCCGACCCTCCTCGAGCTGCTCCTTCACTGCCTCCAGGTCGCCAGCGGTCGCGGCGTCCGCCGCGTCCGCCGCCCCCGCCGACTCAGCGTCGCCAGCGCCGCGACGACGGCCCCTCCCGCGGCGCCTGGCATCGCGCGCCGTGGCAAGCACATCATGGGGCCCTCCGCCGAACTCGGCGCGCTGGGCCCAGCCGCGGAAGGCGCGGCTGGCCACCGACGGCCGCGGCTGCACGCCCGCGCGGCCAGCCTTGACCATCTCCGTCAGGTGGGCCCCTCCCAGCTGCTTCACTGCGCACCGCCACCCCCCCCACCCCCCCCCCCCTCCAACTTCGGAGGCCTGGCACGGGGCGAGCAGCGCGGCACCCGCGCGCAGGGCCGAGGCGACAGCGGCGGCGACCTGCCGCCGCCCGCCACCGCCTTCGGCCGCGCCCGCCGCAGCCGCCTTCACGAGCGGGGCGAGCAGCGCCACCGCTTCCCCCTCGAGGGGCCGGACCGTCGCCATCGCCCGAGCCGCAGCGGGGGGGCACGCTGCCCGCCCAGCGCCCGAAGCCAGCTTGAGCCAAAATGGCTGCGGATGTGCTCCTGTGTGGTCTGCCATGCTCCTGTGTGTTCTGCCGTGCTGCTGCTTGTTCTGCAATGCTCCTGTGTGTGTTGTGTGATCTGCTGCGCTCCTGATAGTTCTGCCATGCTCCTGTGTGTTCTGCCGTGCTCATGCGGCCGTGCTCCTGTGTTATGCCGCGCTCCTGCTTGTTCTGCCGTGCTCCTACATGTGTTATGTGTGGTCTGCCGTGCTCCTGTGGTTTGCCATGCTCCTGCGTGTCCTGCCGCGCTCCTGCTTTTCTGCAATGCCCTGCCGTGCTCCTCCTGCTCCTGTGTTCTGCTAAGCTCCTGAATGTTCTTCCGTCCTCCTATGTATGTTGTGTTCCTGCCGTGCTGCCTCGCGATCCTACGTGTTCTGTCGTGCTACTGCGTGTTCTGCCCTGCTCCTGCGCATCCTGCCGTTGCATCTGACGTGCACCTGCGTTGTCTGCCGCGCTCCTGTGTGTACTGTCGTGCTTCTGTGTGTCAAAGTTAAAATTAAAGACGGGGCCACCAAGGCAAGTGGTGGCCAGAAACGCAGACAGGGCCAGACGGGACCCGCGCTCTCGAAAGAACCCGAGTCCTGAGACACGCCCACCCAAGAGGGGCCACCTAGGGCCGCCTCACGACACGGGCCAGGGAAGGCGGACGGCAAAGCCACTGGCTCTGGCCCCCAACCTGCCCACGCCAATCATGCAAGCACTGCGAGAACAGAAGCTACGCATGATCACAACCGCACTCGACTGCATTGCAAATACACCACGTGCACATTCAAATGCAGCAGACAAAACCCACTGAACAACCACAGCCCCCCACCTCCAATGGGGGGCAGGCGTGCAAGGCGAACCATCACTCAGAAGGCATTCCGAACACACAGGGAAAAGACGTCTCACAAGGAGCACCAACCATGCTGCTCCAACCGCTCCTCGAATCCAAGCCCGGACGCAGCGGCGCCCCGCCTGCAGCACCTCCAACGCTCGCTCCTGCAACCGAGGGCGCCTGCACCATCGCGGCATCCGCTGCGAGCCAAGCGCGGGCGACGGCCGCCCTCGCACGCCGCCGCTCACGAGCCGCGACCTCGCCGCGAGCCCTGGCGCCGCCGCCCCCACGGAAGAGGGCCCGCGGGAAGGCGTCGAGGTGCGCGGCGGCGGCGGCAGCAACATGTCCAGCAGGTCCGGCAGCTGGCTGCTCCCCAACCGAGCAGGCGGTGGCCACGTCGGCCTCGCCGTCGAGGATCACGCCGTCGGAGTCGGAGCACTCGCGAGCAGCGCGCGGCGGCGCCGCTACAGCGCCCGCGGCCTGCACGAAGTCCGCCTCGTAGTCAACCTCCGACACCCCAGGGGAGAGAGGGGAAGGCACGTAGCAATCGCCGATGCGGGCGCCGCGCCCAGCGCGGGCGCGCCCAGCCAGCTCGAACTCCATGTTAAGCTGCTGCTGCGCCTCGTCGCACTCATCGACGTCGATCTGCGCCCGCATCACCTGGGCGCCGCCGCCGCCGGCAACGGGGTCAACCCCGGCCGGGGCGAAGGGCCTCGCAGCCGACCGCAACGCCGTGCGCAGGGCCACAACTCGGCCAAACTGCGGCAGCGCCTCCGCCTCGCAAAACTCAACGTGGCACTCGAACTTGCGCTCTCGCCTCGCCCCCAGCCTGGCGGACCGCTGGAGCCGCCGCAGGGCGAGGCCACGCGCCGACGCAACCCTGACCCCAGGGGCGCCGGCGTGAAGAGCCACATTCCTCCGCACTGCATCCTCCTGCTCGGGGGCCACTCCCCGCAGCAAGGCCGTCAGCGCGGGCACTCGCCTCCAGGCGGTCGGCCAGCTCGGCGTCGCCCACGTAGGGCGCGAAGCACCGCCGAACGGCCTCCAGCTCGCTGCGCAGGGCCGCTGCCTCCGCGAGCGCCGCCTTCACTCCGTTGTCCGCTGCCTCGAGCGCCCGCCTCCGAGCCGCAGAACGCTCCGCGCGCGTCCGCCGCGGCTCGCCGAGGCAAGCGCGTGCAGCACCAGGAACACTGCCCAGCGCCCCCGCCCGCGCCACCATGCCCAAGCGCCCGCCGCCGAGCGCCGAGCCAGGCTTGAGCCACAATGGCTGCGGATGTGCTCCTGTGTGTCCTGCCGCGCTCCTGCTTGTTCTGCCGTGCTCCTATGTGCTTTTTGTGTGGTCTGCCGTGCTCCTGTGTTCTGCCATGCTCCTGCGCGCCCTGTCGCGCATTAAAGTTAAAGTTTAAAACGGCGCCTTCAAGGCAAGAGGGGGGGGGAGGAAAAGAAAGGGGCCGAGTGGCCCCCAGGGGCGCCAGGCGCCACCCGAGACACGCCCTCCCGAGAGGGGCCGCCTAGGGCCGCCACTCCCCGCGGGGCCGCACTGGGCCTCCACCGCGGACGCACCGCCAGGCGAGAACAGATCTACATGCAGAATGCAACTGCCCGCCTCACGCACTCCTTACCAAGCTGAGGCGATGAATGATCTCCAGACTCGCAGAAATCCTGGGGCTCCTCGATCGACTCCTCGAGGCAGGCCTCCCATGCTTCATCCCAGGCCCTCAGTCGGGCTTCCTGGGCAGCCCGCCAAGCTTCGTCGCTGGCCCCCATGCGGGCAAGAACGTCGAAGTCCTGCTCCACGGGGCCGTCATCGAAGCCGTGCTCGCTGCCATCCGAGACGAACTCCTCCTCCTCGAAGTCCGCCTCCCTCGAAGACGAAAACAAACTTCTGTAGCTTGCAGCCCAGCCGCGGGCAGAGGCGGCGTCCGCTCCACTAGAGCACGAACCCGCATCCGAGCCCGAGCTCCCCGCTGCACCCGCGTCGGCCCCAGCCCCAGCCGCGCTCACGGCCGCGGGCTCGGAGGCAGAAGTCGGACTCCAGCCCGCGCTCGACAAACTGCTCGGCCAGCTCGACGGAACCAGGTCCCGAGACGGGAGGCAGCGGCACACGGCCAGCAGTACCTCCAGGGATCCCTTGCACTCCGAGGGCGGCACCTGCGTGTTCGAACAGGCTCCCGTCGCCGTCGCTATCAACGCGGCGCTCTCCTCCGACGACGTCTCCAGCCGCGCGGGCCCGCGGCGGCGGCGCTCCAGCGCTCGCAGCACCGCTTCCCGGCAGGCCCACGGCAGGCCCGTCCGCACCCGAGATGCCGCGAGCAGACGCTGTCGGCGGCGGCGGCGGCCCAGCGCCCGCAGCACCGCCCCCGGCGTCGCTCTCCAAGCTCGCATCATGCACCGAGTCGTGCTCGGGCAGCTCGCTGTGCACAACGCCGTCGGCTACCGCGCCCAGCCCTTCCAGCAGCGCGTCGACGTCGGCCCGCCTGCCCCACCGCCCCGGTGGTCGACGCGGCCAGAACGGGGCCGCCTCCCGACGTAGCCTGGGCCGCACCGGCGGGAGCTCCACGGGCGGCTCGCCGATGCACAACTCCACCTCGCAGACGATGGGGCCCCCAGCAGCAACGGCGCCGGCTCCACCATCCAGGCGGCCTCCGCGCTGCGCAGCCCTCCACTCCGAAAGGGGGGGCGCCTGCCTGCGGGCACTGCCTCGCGCGCAGCGAGACGTTGCGCGCCAGGCGCGTGGCCCCGCTCTCGGGCTCGCCGCGGAGCCGCGCCAAAAGGAAGGGCCTGGCCAGCTCCTCGCGGCGGGCGGCCTCGACGGAGACGCCGTCGGCCCCGCGCGCCGCGCCCCGCAGGTCCAGCGCCCCCCGCAGCCGCGCGCGCTCAGCGCGGGCGCCCACCCGCACGCGGCCGCGGGCCGCTCGGCCGAGGCGCAAGGTCTCCAATGCGCGCCGCGATGAAGGCCGCCACGTTGAGGGGCAGCCCGCCGCCGCCATTTCTCGAGCCCGCCCGCGCGCGCCCGAGGCAGGCTTGAGCCAAAATGGCTACAGATGTGTCCTGTCGTGCACCTGCTTGTTCTGCCGTGCTCTGTCGTGCTCCTCCTGCTCCTGTGCGTAAAATTATAATTAAAGACGGGGCCTTCAAAGCAACAGGGGAAATCCCTACGAAACCAAAACGGGCCGGCCCCAGCGGGCCTGGGCGGGCGGAAGGGCCACCCCCTCAGACGCCCACCCCCCCCTCCGAGGCGCGACAGATCTACAAAAATAATGCAACTGCGCGCCTTACTCACTCACTCACTCGGCCTCGAGAAGCCGCAGCCCCTCGGCCAGATCGCCGCTCAGGATTGCCGCCTGGGCCGCCAAGGCCGCTGCCAGCCGCTCCTGCGCACGACCTCCAGGGGCGTCGGCCTCGAGACGCCTGCCCTTGCCCATGGCGGGATCGACAGAGAGGCTCACAGCGCTGCGCACCGCGCACACGTCGTCGTCGCGCCCCTCCAGCACGCCGCGCTCCGAGTCTACCTCGTCATCCCCACCCTTCCTGTCCTCGCATATGTTGCCTCCGTCGGAGCCGATGTGGCAGGTCACCCCACTCGCGGCCTCGACGCCCTGCGCAACCTCAGGGCGGCCTCCAGTGTCCTGCTGCGCTTCGCACTCTGAGTCCACCTCGCCCCCACTGTCCTTCTTCTCCTCGCTGCTGCCGCCAACGTCGGCGCCGGTGAGGCACGCCCCCCCTCCCCGCCCACGGCCCAGCCGCCCGGCGCTCCCTCGGAAGAGCCTCCAGTGTCCTCCAGCTCGTCGCACTCTGAGCCCACCGAGCCCTCCCTTCCTCTCCTCGCTCTCGGCCTCAGGCTGCCGACGGTGCAGCGGCGGCGCGGCCGCACGGCGCCCGCGCCTGCTGCCCAGTCTCCGCCTGCTGCCGCCATGCCTGCTTCCGCCCAGCCGCTGCCAGCGGTTGAGCTGCAGCAGCTCCGCCCGCCTGATGGCGGCGGCTGGCGCGGCCGCGCAGCGCAGGCCCGTGTTACGCCGCGCTCTGCGCAGGGTTCGCGCGGCCTTCCCTGCGCCGTCGGGCTCTCCAGCCAGGACGCCCTCCAGGATCGGCGCCGCGAGCGCCATCCTGGCCACGAGCTCGCCCGCGAGCGCCGCATTCGGCTCCGTGATGTCGCCCTCGCCCTCCGCGAG